TTTTTTGTTTTCTTTATTTGTATNATATTATATATATATATATATATATATATATATATATGATAAAATAATACTTATTATCCATATTAATTTTTAAATATTTTGATACTTATATAGAATATAAAAAATTTATATATATTATTTACATATCTTATTACTTAAAAAAGTTAATATATTTATTTCCCTTAAATAAATAATCTTTTATTCTTTTAGAATATCAGATTAATTATAAATCTATATTTTTCTTCTTATTTAACAAACGTGTTATTAAATAAATATTCTACTTATATTATCTATATTTTCTTTAATTAAAATTCCTATAGAAAAATCTAAAGTATTATATAGATTAAGAAGATTCATTTATTTTCCATTAATTATTAAAAATACACTCAAAAAAAATCATGTAAAATATAACTTAACAAATATACTAAAAGTCAATTCTTTAATATTTTAGTTTTAAAAAAAGTTTTTTGTATTAAATTTTAAATCGTTTATTAAAAAAATAAATCATAAAGTTATTTATTTAAATCTTAAAAAATAACTTCATAACAAATTTATTTCTCATTTAAAAAAATTTTAACGTTTTTATATTTTAAAGTTCATATATTTAAATATAAAATTAATTATATTTTATATTATTAATTTAATATAATTATAATAATATATTTATTTTTAGATAATCGCAAATATTTTATTTTTATAATTAAAATCAAAAATGGGATAAGTATTTTTTAAGATTTTAAAATATAAATAATAATTTTTAATTTATTTTAGTTTTTATTTTTATAGTTTAAAAATTTTATAGAAATTAAATTATATTTTTTAAAATAAATTATTAAAATTCGACTTATATTTTATTTAAAAATAAATAATTAATTTATCAAATCAAATTTTTTTACACTATTTGTATTTAATTTTTGACAAATTTAAAACATATATTTTAGGGTTAAAATATATTTCTTTTCATTTTTTTGTAAAAAATAATTTACTATTTTTTATTTATTTAAAACAATAATATAAATTAAAAGCCCAAAAAAAAAAAAAAAAACGATAAAAAAACTTCTTTAACAAATATTAATTAAATAAAAAAGATATAAAATTAATTTTATCATTATCACTAATTAAAAATTATATAAATATTTTTTTTATATTTAAACATGATTTTTTATATATTTAATATTAAATAAATTATTGAAAAAATAAATAAAATAAAATAAATATTTATAAAAAAATAAAGAACCAAATTTAAAAAAATTAAACCGAAGAAAAATATGGCTTTTATATTTTATAAAAAATTAAAATAAAAATAATATTTAAATTAATAATTATTTATTTAAGGAATAAATAAATAGCTTTACTTCAATCAAACATATAATAACTCCATAGTAAAATATGATTTAGTTAAATCAAATTAAATTTATTGACGCAATAAATTCAATTGATTATTAAAATTCTAAATAAATTTCTAAATATCATTTCTATAAGCAATTATCTTTCTTCAATTAATTTGGGCGAGTTAATCCCTAATAATATTAAAATATAAACTTTAGAATAGGTTTATTTGAATATTTTGATATAAGTGAATAAAACAAAAATTATTTCTTTCAATTTAACTATCTAATAATTTATGTAAAATGATTAATTAAAATATTTGATAATACCGATTTAAATGTTACTATTAAATTCAAATGCATAATTCATGAAAACGGAATAACTAGAAATGATAAAGATCTATCCGAAGTTGATAATATGTTTTTGTTTAATAATATATTTTTGTTGATAAAAAACTTAATTAATCTAATTTATAATCTATAAGAAAAAATAGAGAAGTTTATAAATTTAATAGTTAAAAATAATTATTATTAAATAATATAGAGAATTTCGAACTTTCAAATTATATTTTTATGAGAAAAAAAAAAATCGATTAAAACAATTAAATAAATTAAAAATATAAATAAAAATATATACTTATTGAAATTTTTATTTTATCAAATGTATATTTCGATTTTTCAGTTTTATTTTTAGATAAATAAATTTTTTGTATAGCATACAATAACAATTTTATATTAATTTTTTATTTTTTTTTTAAAAAAAAAAAAAAAATTAAATTTTATTATTATTTTTTTTACATTTGTAATAAAATTTATGAATAAACAGTTTTATTTTATTAAATTAATAAAATTATTTTTTTATTATATTTCCTATAATTTTTAATTAGAAAGAAATCAAATATAGAAATTCGCTTAAATATTATATAAATTATATTTATTTATTTTAAAAAAAAAAAAAATTAAAAATATAATACTATTATTATCCAATAACAATTTATTTTCTATTATCATTTTTTTTGGTTTATTTTTTCCTTTTTTAAAAAAAAATAAATAAATAATTTTATTTATATAAGTTTTATTTTATTATTTTAAATAAAATTTCTAAATTAATTAATTTAAAAAAAAAAAAAATGTAAAGATTTGTCCCTCCTCTTTCTTAATCAACTGTAGCTTTAACACCTGTTGCCTAAGTTTCCTAATTAGTAGGATAAGTTCCCTAATTAGTAGGATAAGTTCCCTAATTAGTAGGATAAGTAGTTAGTCCATAATTAGTTTAATCTTCAGTTGTAGTTGCTCCTTAATTAGTATCTTCAGGAGTTGTGAAATAATAAATGTAACCAGTTTTAGGCTAATCAAGATTAGAACACATCCCATACTAAAGAAAAGTCGTCGATTACGAATAATAAGTAAGTACAACAATAGTTCCTAAAGAAAGATTAGGTAATATATAATATAATTAATAACTTTTACAATCTTTTTATTAGTATAAGATTATTATACAATTGAACATTAAGTAAGTTATATTCCTAATGTAATTTAGGAACCATATGTAGATTATGTCCCTGTGTAAAGATATAAATAAAGAGTTGAGTAAGAAAAAATTCTAAAAATTAATTTTTGAAAAATATATATATTATTTTTAATAGATACAATGCTGTTGAATCAAGCAGAGCTATTACATAACCAAATTATAATCCTTAATAAGGATAAATTTCTACAGTTTATACAGGAGCAAAATATTCTGGATAGGCTGGTTATACTTAATAATAGGCTGGTTATGCTGGATATTAGAATAATTAAGCAGGATAATAGGCTAGTTATATTGGATAATAAGTTGGTAATGCTGCTTATGCTTATGGGAACGCTTATGATGGATAATAAGCTGTTTATGGAGGAGTTTATAATTCTGCTTATGTCACTCCTGGATACGGATAATAATATTATTAAAGATGAGATTTATATTGATTAATATTAAAAAAAATAAAAAATTTATTATAAAACTATTTTTTCTGTTTTATTTACAAAATAATAATAAAAAAAAAATTATAAAACATTTTTTCTTTATGAAATAAATTAATATAAAATATTATAATTAAAAATAAATTATATATATATATATACATATATTTATTAAAATGATAATAGAAGACTAACATGATATATCAGGAATGTTTTCTAAAGCAGGCCGACTTACACTCTAAATTTATTAAAAATTACAAGAAAAAAATTAAATATTAAATCTTCCTTAAAAAAAACGGAAAAGTAAATCTCTACATAGATATCCTTAAACTTAACTACAGATAAACACTAATTTTAATATTAAAAGTAATAAAAATCTAAGTACACCTTAAAAAACAAAATTAGATTAACCTTTTTCTAAAGCAACATCAAGAGAGAAATATTATTAAAAATATTAAAGTTCTAATTTTGGTTTATATAATCCTAAATATAATCTAATATTCAATAAAAGCCCTTTTTATCCAGATGAAAGATAAAAAAATAGATAAAATTAATAAATTTAAAAGTTTAAATATTAATCATAATATATAGAAAATAAATAATAAAATCAAAAAAATTAAGCATATTCTTCACTTTCACTAATAGATTGTGATGGTCTATTTAAAAAAAATATAAAAGGACACATTAAATTTGAAAAAATGGTAAATAGAAAGCCTCTTTAGAATGTATAAAATGGTTATAGTGAAAAAAAATTTGAGTAAATTAATTTACCTTAATAAAGTTATAAAATGAAAAAAATTAGAAATATTATTTTTGATAAATATCTTAAATAAGATAATATGAAACTTTTCAGTTATAAATAAAGTGGTTTATAATATAATATTAATTATGAATAAATATACCCGAAAAAAGATTTAGGAGTTTTAGATTTTTCTAAAATATCACCTAGAAAAGATTAAGTAAACAATGCATATTATTTAAATGAATAAATTTACGATTAAACATTCAAAAATTATTTAAGTTAAAATAATAAAAGTTAAATTTTAAGAAAAATTTCTACGCCTATATTTAAAATAATGATAGGTAGAAAATGAAATATTAAAATTATAATAAATAAATAAAAAAAAACATATTAAAAAAAATAAAAATATATATGAAATTTTGTTCATATTTAATTATAAATTTTAAAATATAAATTTTAAATTTAATTAATTATAAATAATGTTTTTAAACATATATATATATATATATATTTAAATTTATAATTTTTTTTATATTATTAAAAAATAGTTATTTTAATTTGTAATTAATATTAAAATACTAATTTAAAAAAATAATATAAAAAAATATTAAGAATAAATTTACAAATATAAACTTATTATTTATACTTTGAATTAAATATAAAGTTTATATCATTAATTTTTTTAAATTATTTACTATTTAAATTTTATATAATTATCAATATGTCCATTAACTCCTTTAAATTTTTTCTTATTTAGTAATTATTTTTTCTATTTAAATTTCTTACTTATAGTTATTCATCTATAATGTAAAAATTCTATCTGACATTTACACTCCTTTTTAACATAATTATTCTATTTTATTAAAAAGAACTTCTACATCTACTCTTTTATATTCATCAATTTCTAGCATATTTCTGAGAAATTAATATAACTCATCACTATACCTTTCTTTTACTAATTTTAGTTTTTAATTTAAATAATCCTAATTAATTTAAAAATTTTCTAAATCGAATAGTTTTTCTACATCTTCTAAAAGTAAACTAGCTTCTAAAATTGTAATACCTAGTGCAAAAACATCACATTTACTACTATTATATTCAGGAATTTATATTTATTTTTATAAATACTTTAATAAAATAGGGGATAAATAGCATTTTTTGCTTGCATGTAAAAGCATTTATGTATAGTTATTATTAATTTAAAAATTTTAAGGAAATTCCGGAATTATTTTAACCTTTCCTTCATCACTTATTAATATATAAAAGGGACTTATATTATTGCATATCATTTTTCTAGACTTAAGGTATGCTAAAGCAGCTATAATCGATACTATAATATGCCATAATTCACTTTCATCGTAAAATATATAATTTTATTATATTCTAAGTTCTAAGTCTTTTTATAAATCATAGTTTATATATTCATAAAAAAAAGTAATTTTAGTTAAAGAAGAACAAAAATCTGATTTTTTTTAAGTTTTTATTTTTATTAATTTTATAATGCAATCATGTTCTAATTATAAAATATTTTCTGATTTTTCTTGAATTTATAATAACTATTATTTATCAAAATCACTAGGTATTATTAAATTTATTCCTGCTATTTTAAAAGGATAATTTTCTATATTAAATACTTTGCATTTCCCATAGTGTATATCTTCTATATATTATATATTTTTCTAATTTTCGAAAGATTCATTATTATTTTAATCAGATTTTATATTACCCATATAGAAGTATAAATGTTATAATAAATAAATTGAATTTTTTGCTTTTTTTTATATATATTTTTAAATTATATTTATAATATATTTATTTAAATAAAATAAAAAAGATTTTTATTTTGAAAATTTAAAGTTTATATAAAATAAATGTTATATATATAAAAATTCAGATTCATTATTAAAATTAGTGATCTTATTATTACATATTCTCTTTACTCTATTAATATTTAATTAAATCATCAGCATTTAATCCAGGAGATTTAGTGAAATAAGTATAATGACTCTTTAAAACTCCATTTTAAATACATTTTTATTCTTTTATTAGTTATTATTTTAACATAATTTTTTCTTAATATTAATGCTGCTTTTTAATAAATTTTTCCTTGCAAATAATTAGATGACTAATCAAATAATTTTTAGAAGTCAAAACTTTATTACACAAAGGACACTCTTATGCTTTTTGATTATTTTATAAATACTCTTTTGCATGTACTTCCCTTACATGCTGCATAAAGATTTTTTTTTCATATGGTTTATCACAAATTGAACATGTAAAATAAATCAAATTTGATTTACCAATCTTTTTTGTTTTATTATCTTTGGCTTATTTTGTAGTTGTTTCAACAAAATTTTTAACTTTATTTCTTATATCTTCAATTGAATCATGTAAATCAAAAAATATATAATTGTCGTTATTCTTTTCAATGTTTCTTTTTTCTTTTTCTTCACTTGTAAAATAAAATTCTTAAATTTCTTAATGATCTGATAATTCTTACCGTTTTTAATTATCATTTTCTATTTTTATTTTATTATATTAGCAATTTTCCCGTGTCTCTTGTTGCATTTAGTAACAAATTTAATTACATTCTGTTTTCCATTATTAATAATTATTCGGTATATTATCATCAAGAATAATAATTTTATTCTAATCTATCTATTTATATTCTTTATTTAAAAAAATAAAATAATGAAATATATAAAAATAAATATAACTTTTATGTTTAATTATTAATTATAATATATATATTTCTCTCTTAAATATTTATATATTTTAAATATTATTAATAATTATATTATTTTATTTAGTACCTTATTAATAGTAAGGCTATATATTAAATTGTTTATATTAATTTGCCTAGGTTATAATTTATTGATTATTTGAGATTCTCTCGAAAAATCTATTTTCTAAAAAAATTATTATTATTATTAAAAATCTTGCATTTTTTATTTTTTTTTGTTATTTTTGTTTTGTAAAAAAAAATTAAATTTAAAATTTAATTTTTAAAAAAAAATATATATTTTTTTTCAGAAAAAAAGCATTAAATAATATATAAATAATTATAATCTTCAAAATTTTTTAAATTCGTTAAAAACCGCCAAAAAAAAATGAATTATAATAAAATTTAAAACAAAACATTCTATAAATCCATTTTATTATTCAATTATAAGCATCATTATTATTTTTTGCAAAAAGTAATCTAAAAAAAAATTTATTTTAAATTTTTTATTTTTTATTTTTTATATTTTTGGTATAATTAAAATGTAATTAAGTATATATATTATTAATTAAATTTTTAACTTTTTTAAATAGAAAATCATATTAAAAACATAATTAAATAAATTTTATTATTAAAAATAAAATTTACTATAACTATATTTAATTTAAAGATTTAATAAATAAATTAAAAAATAAAAAAACATATATAAAATAAAAAAAACTTAGTACAAAATAATAAAAACAAAAAAAATTATTTTAAGACAAAAAAAAAAAAAAAAAAAATTATAATTAATTAAAACAAAAATTAAAAATAAAAATAAAAATGAGCACCTAATAAAAACCTTAATTAGTTTAAACTTTCGGCAGAAAAAAAAATGCAGTAGCTGTAGCATCAGTAAGACCCGGAAAAGGTTTACTTAAAGTAAACGGATCTCCCGTTGATTTGGTAAATCCATAACTTTTACAATCAAAAATTTGGGAACCCCTTCTTTTACTCGGTTCATAGAGATTCGCAAAACTCGACATTAGAATTAGAGTGAGAGGATCAGGTTATACTTCTCAAATTTATGCTATTAGATAAGCATTATCAAAAGGAGTTGTTGCTTACCACTAAAAGTAATAAATACAACAAATAAATTAAAATTATATATAAATTAAAAAAAAGATTCGTAGATGAAAACTCTAAAAGAGAAATTAAAGAGTAATTAATGCAATATGATAGATCACTTTTAGTAGCTGACCCAAGAAGAATGGAGGCAAAGAAATGTGGTGGTAGAGGTGCAAGATCAAAAATGCAAAAAGCTTATAGATGAAAAAAAAATAAAAAATATTTTTAAGTATTTTTTGAAATAAAAAAATAATGTTTTTTATTGTATTTTGTAGTAAATAATTATTTAAATACTCTTTTTAAAAATATAATCTTCCCATATTTTGATATTAAATAATATTTACTTAGAATTTTTTTTTATGATATAAAATATTAATATCAAGTATTTGATTTATATTATTATTTTTAAATAAATGTATATATCATTTATATTATAAATAAAATGGAAAAAAATAAAAAAAAAATATCAATTATATATTTTGATTATTATTTAAATATTTAATTAATATGAATTTTTATTTTATTATTATATAAAATTAAGATAATTAGGAACAAATTATTAATAATAATTTTTAATATTAGAATTTTCAAGAGATATAATTTTTTATTTATTTTCTTGAAAACAAAGAATTCATATAATTAATATTTTATTGAAATTATATTAATATTTAGCTAACTTATTACATAAAAATCAAAACTTTACAATAAACAATATGTAATTATACAAATCAAAATAATATATTTTCATCACTTTTAAATTTTACTTGCTTAATCTTTATATTTATAAAAAGACTGGGCTACTAAAATAGGAAAAACTAGAGATGCCTCACACCAAACTTTAACAAAAGTAGAATCTATTTTCATTTTACCCCAACTAACAGCTTCACTAATACTAGCTCCTGAATCTGAACCTTCATAAACCATTCCAGTATTAATAAATACACCAAAATCAGCTCCATTTCTATATATATTTTTATAAATATAAATAAATATATAATAATTAAACCTCCATATATTAGCATTCATAATATGATGTTTAATAACACCTCCACCTAATATAATAACTCCTGATTTATGTGCTTACATTGCCATTTTATTAAGTTCTCTAACATCTTAAACTAAATCAACAATAAATCCATCAACTTTATAAGAGAAATAATAAAGCATATCTCCTATAGCACCATCAGTGAGTGCAGGACAAAAAACAGGAATATTATTTTTATAAGCCCAATAATAAATACTTTCTGGATTATTAATTTTTTCTCCTAGTCTCTTAATAATTTTAGAAGGACTCCAAATATTTCCTTATTTAACTTATTCGTCATACATTTCATAAAATAAAGGAATTAGCCAATCTTCAAGTTTGCAATAATTTTCACTAGGGACATAAATATTTCCAATTCTATTAATTGCTTTTTATCTTAATAAAATATCGTTTGTATTAAAGTCTCCTATATGGAAATCAGCTAAGCATTTTATGAAATCTTCCTCTATCCCTCCTGCTGAAGTTACAATACAATCTATCATTTTATGTTAAACTAAATAACGAATTATATCCCTCATCCCACTACTAATCATGTTTGATGTATAACCAAGAAAAATTGTACATCTATTTCCTTCTTAGTTCCAATTTATCATTTTCTTTACTTCTTCTACAGCTAAATATAAATTTGTTGATTATAAACCAAATGCTTAATATTAATTGAATAATTCTTCCCAATTTAATGTTTTATTAAAATCATACCCTTTAACAACTTAAGATGTTTGTTTTTCAGGTATGATTTCATATATCTTTTTTAACTAATCTTCTATTTAATTTATATCCATCTTTAATATTTTATTTTTATTTATTATTTTTTAGTTTTATATTAAAATAAAATTATATGCAAAATAAAACAAAAAACTTAAGGCTAAAAACCTTCACCAATACCCGATTTCGATTTAAAAATTTTTAACTAAAATAAAAATTATTTGATTGATACAATTTAAATTGAGTATAAAAAAAATTTGAATAATATTAAAAAACAGGGAGATTATCTCTTAATAATTAAGATTCTAACTAATGTTTAACTTTAATTTAAAATGATTAAATTGTGGATAAGAATAGAAAATATAAGCAAAACCAATAATAAATAAACTTTAATTGAAAATAATATATGTATATATATATTGAATGAAAATAAAATATTTAATAATTTGATTAATTAAAAAGCTATTATAAATAATAAATATAATTTAATAATGTAAATAAATCAGAAGAATAAAGTAATATTTCCTGTATTAATAGATATTTAAATATAGAAATTAAATAAAAAATAAGATTTTTATAAAAATATTATTAAGAATATAGGAAAAATGTATTAAATTTTAATATTTAAAAGAAGAAAATGACTATGATTATTAAAGAAAGAATAAAAATAGAATAGTAGACTGAATAAAAAGATTTATATAATTATTAAATAATACCTAATGCTTTTTAAATTATTAATATGAAAATTCTTTTTAAAATTGAATTCTTTTACTAATTAAGATAGTTCTATTAATATTTAAAAAATATAATAAAGATAACTAAAAAGCTTATAACTAAATATACGATCTTTAGATTAAATAGAAAATTAAAATTTATTATATTAAAATAGTAAAATAAATTAGAAAATATTAAAATACTTCAAGAAACCTAAAAATATAAAACATCTAGAATAAGTCTGAAAATTTTAGATTCAGATTTAAATTTTAGAAGATTAAAACTAAAAATAATTTATTAAAATTAAATATTAGCTAAAAAAAAAATACTAAACGATACAATAATAATTTAAAAAAATTAAATATAATTTTATGGAAAAATAATATGAAATTTAATTGTTATAATAAGAAGAAAATATGTAAATATAAAAAATGAAGTTAATAGAACCTAAATAAAGTAAAAGTTAAGTAAATTAAAGTATTTGAAACATAAATTAAATAAAAAAAGTATTAATTTTAAAAGTAAAACTAAGGTAATAATATTGATAAAATGGCACAATAAAATTATTATAGGCAGATGTATAATTAAACACTGAATAAAATAAGTTTTAAAATAAAAAAATTAATAAATACAAAAAAAGATTAATAAACCTTACGAATAAAAATAAAATACATATAAATATGATAAAATATAATAAAAATAATAATATGATTTAATAATTATTATTTATGTTTAATTTATAAATATAATTTTATGAAGGAAAAAATAAAATAAGAGCACAAATAAAAATTAAAAACTATTAATTTAGCAAATAATAATTAAATAAATAATAGTTAATAAAACATTAAATATAATTTATAAAATAAATAAAAAAATATGCAAGATCTAAAAAATGAAATTATAATTTATAGGTAGTGATAAATTAAAAAAATTATGAAATTTACATACTGAAAGAGCAAAATGATTAGTAATTTCAACAAGAAATTAAATTATTGAAAAAAAAAATAGAGAAGTTAGTAAACAAGATGGAAAAAAAAAATATGAATAAACATTTGAATATAATTTTATAGAATTATAAAAAAAATATGACAAATTGTTAATTATTAATAAAAATTTGAGTCAAGAAAAATAAATTTGTGTATAAAATAAAAAAAATATTGAATAAATAAAATAAATAAAAAGATTGTAGTAGAAAAAGTAAATAAAAATCTTAATATAAAAGATTTTTTTTATATATATAAAAAATATAATATTAAATAATATTAATTTTTAATAATTTTAAAGTACAAAAATTTTAAAGTACACATTTAAATAAATTATATATAAAAATAATAAACAAATGATTAATATTTTTATTTTTAAGTTTTTACCATGTACTTTATATAATAATAAATAATATATAAACAGCAATAAAATAAAGAAAAAAAAATAACAATAGATATTATTATTAAAATAGTCTTTTATTAATTTTATAATATATTAAAATACATTTATTATTATTATATAATAATTTAAAAAAATAAAAAAAAACCTAAAAATTTCACAAATTAAATTTTTTTTTTTTTTAGTTTTTAAAAAACATATTTATATTATAAAAAAACTCTTTTCAATTAAAAGAAAAGAAAATATATAAAAAACTGTAAAAATAATTAATAATAAAAAACATATATATAATATATAATTAATATATTGAATTTAATATATTTTCTTTTATATTGTTCAATTTTTTTTTTTTAAGTTATTCAAAATCTTTCGCCTCTAATTCTTCTAGCTAAATGTAAATCCTTAGTCATTATAGTAACTCTTTTTGCATGTATAGCGCATAGATTTGTATCTTCAAAAAGTCCTACTAAATAAGCTTCGGAAGCTTCTTACAAAGCCAAGATGGCTTAGGATTAAAATCTAACGTCATTTTTCATTTCCAAAGCAATATCTCTAACAAGTCTTTAGAATGGGAGTTTTCTAATCAGCAAATCAGTCTTTTTAATATTTGATAAATTAATAAAAATTTAATAATATATATAATTTATAATAATCATAAAAAATATTATTTTTATACTGTTTTTTAGTATTTTCTTATTTCTCTTAAAGCAACAGTTCCTGGTCTGAATTTATGAGGCTTCTTTAATCCTCCAGTTGATATTGGGGCTGATTTTCTAGCAGCTTTGCTAGCTAATTATTTTCTTGGAGCTTTAACACCAGTTGATTTTCTAGCAGTTTATTTAGTTCTAGCCATATTTTTTTTAATTTATATTTTTTTTTATTTTTATTTTATAAAGTTTTTTTTTTTTCCTTTGTTTTTTTTAATATTATTATTATTTGTAAATTAATTTATTCTCGCATTTGAAGAAAAGGGGAAAAAAGTTTTAATTTAAAATAATTTTAATTTTTATACAAATTATAAGAAAGCTTTTATAATTTTATTTTTTCCTTTCTTTGTATTGGTTTTGTTTTCCTTTTCTTATTTTTTAAAAAAATAAAAGAAAATATAAAATTATATTTTAATTAATATTTTAAGTAAATTTAAATAATTAATAAAATCAAAAAAAATAGATATATTTAATTATATATATTAACAAATTATTATATTTAAAATGTAACTTTATTTAAGGATTATATTAAAAATAATACGTATATAATAAAATAAAAATTTTAAATAATTTTCATTTTGATTGATATTTCAATTAAATTTCATTATTTAAGCAAATTCATATTTAATATTAATAATATATAATTAATAAATAAAATTTCATTTATATAAGTTAAATAATAATAACTAATAAATTTTTTATTTCAATTCAATTTTTATTTTCTTATATAAATTATTATTAAGATTTATAAAATAAAAATCAATTTTTTTTTATTTAAAAGAAATTAAACAAAAAAAAATATTAAACAAATAAAAAAATCAATAAGTATTGAAAAAAAAAAAAAAATGGGCGATAAATTTTCAAAAAATAAAGAATCATAAGAGTTCTTAGATGGCTTTAAATAAAATTACTAATTTGTATAAGAACATTTAGATAATAGATTCGGTAAAATTAAATTATATCAAAACTAGTTTTAACAATATGTGGCCGTTAAGAAATCTTCATCGCATAATAAAGATGAAATAAATAATTTTATATCTAAAAATGCTTAATTTGGTTTACAAATAAATTCTCCTTTTTTAATAAAATTAAATGCTTTTGAAACACATAATGAAAATGCAATGTGTGCATCTATTAATCAAGTAATTACATATTATGATTACTATCTAAATACAGTTCATGATGAATTAGTAAGAAGAAATTAAGTATCACTTTATTATTTAGAATAAGAGTTATGGGTTATTCTTTATTCTATTATAAGTGCGGCTTTTTATTTAGAAGAAAATGGTCGCTCAATACATAATATTAGACCACAAAATATTTATTTTACTTAATAAGGAGAAGTAAAATTAGTTCCTATAGGGTAATATAAAATAATAAAAAAAAAAATTATATATATATTATAAAATAATATTTGATTTATATTGACAATAAATTATAAATAAAAACATAAATTTTGAAATTATTTTATTATTAATATTTCTCAATATTATAATTATATTTAAATATCCGTTTTATTTTTATTTTTATTTTTTTTGAATAATAATGAAAAAAGTATTTTTCCAGAAGATTAAACAGGATACCAAAAATTTATAACATTAAAAGAGCCTATATTATTATCTCCTGAATAAATCTTAAGCGCCCGAGTCAAGAATTACGATCCGAATATAAATTAAAACAAATCCGATGTATATTCTATTGGTAAATAAAATAAAACATACTTAAATATTATCTATATAATATATAACAAAAATATTTTACTAAATAAAAAAATTATTATATAAAATAGGGATGACTATGTTGTATTGTGCGTCATTACAAACAATGAATTAATGTTACAATTATGATAATTTGTAAATAGACACTTAAGTTTTAAACCAGCTTCAATTATTCATGAAAGGAGAATATTCTAAATTCTTTAATAATATTGTCAATTTAATGCTTTCTGATAATCCTGATGATAGACCTACTTCTTAATTCATTTATTAAATCTTATAGCCTTTTGAAACCTAAATTTTAAACTTATAACCATTTAATCCTGATTATGAAACACTTAGAAGACATTTAGATTACATAGATAATCCTAATTAATTACCTCAAAATGAAAATCAACAAATTTTATAATCATAAGATTAATTTAGATAATCATAATAATTCTAATCTTAAATTAGCTAATAATAATTAGCTCAATCATAATTTGATTAAAATAAATATAATTAATATTAATTAAATTAATCTTAATAATATTAATCTCATTATAGTTAAATTCAACCTTAAATTAACTAAACTTAGTCATTTGTAAGTTCTTAACCATATGCTCAAAGTTAAAATTAGGTAGTTTTAGTTTCTCCTAATTCATAAAACTATAAATAAGTTATTTATTAATAAGAACCTGTTGTTAGTGACATTCATTAATATTAATAATAATACTATTAACCTTAATAAGTAATCGTATAGTAAAATCCTTAATAATATTCGAATTAAATCATAAATTTATAATAATCTTAACCACAGCTTTTATATAATGAAAATACTCAATATATTGTTTAATCATAACAGCCTTAATATTAATATTAATATCAATATTAAGATTCAAATAAAATACTTAATTCTGTATAACCGAACAATTATTAATAAGTTAAAATCGTGCCTTAAATATTTTCCCCTTAATAATCAATAGTTTCTCCCGTCTAAAACGGTTAATTTGCTTCTCCTTAAATTAAATAAAAAATGTTTGCAAATTAAGAAACTACTTTAAATAATTAATCAGAACTTTACAATACTAACGTTTAGCAAAATAAGAAAGTTACTTTTGTTGATAATTATAATAAAAGCCCTATTAAGATGATGAATGATAGTGAAAATGATAAAAAATTCGGTAAGAAAAATATTAGCAATTATTATTAAGAAAAAAATAATGAAGAAAATTACGATATGAATGAAATTAACAAAAGAATTAATGAAGCACTTTAAAGAACATAAGAAGTATTGAAAGGAGGAAAATGAATATCTTAACTATATATATATATATATATATATATTTATATAAATATTTTGAAACATATATATTAATTAATTGTCATAATTTTTATTATTTTTTTCTGTATTTTTTTTTTAAAAAAGATTTACTAATAAAAAAAAATATAAGACAAAAAGATAGTTAGTTGAATTTTATTTTTTAAGAATAAGTTAATAATAATAATTATATATATAAAAATGTATAATTAATTATTCTTATAAAAAAAAATATAATTTATTTATATATTTTTATTTTGTTAAATTATATTAATAAAAATATTATAAATATTTTTATTTTTTTAAATTAAAAATAATTAATAATTATTTATTTATATTATAAAAAATTTAATATAAATACTAAAATAACTAAATTTATAATCAATTAATAATAATAAATATTTTATTTAGAAATATTAATTTTTTTTAAAAAAATATTCAAATAAAATTATTTAATTAAAATTCTTAATAAATAACATTCATTCATACATACAAATATATATATTTATCAATTAAATGTTATAAGAAGAAATAAATTATAATTAATAAATCAAACAAACTCATTATAATAATCAAGATATAAATTCTTAAGATACTAGAAAAAAACAATCAATAACAACAATATTGGGTTATAGTCTTCTTGAATAATTAGGCAGATGTTAATTTGGTTCAGTTTTTAAGGTATAAAAAAATAAATAAATTTATGTAATGAAAATGATAGACAAAGTATTAATAAAATAAGTCGAATTAAACAATTATATTAATAATGAATTAAATTTACTTGTTGGTTTAAAAAATAACGATAGTATAATAAAATTATATGAATATTTTTTAGATGAAAACGCATTATATTTAATTATGGAATATATAAAAAGTATATCACTATTTAATTATATAATAAAAAATAAACCAAACGAAGAATAATGTCTAAAATTATTCATTTAAATTTTAAATGGTATATAATAAGTACACTAATATAATTTTATTCATAGAAATTTAAAACCTTCAAATATATATATTTGTAATTAAGTTGTAAAAATAGGAGATTTCGGGTTATCAAGTTAATTAAGTAACCGTTTATTATCAAATAGTTTTAATATGTAAAAATTATTTACATCTCCAGAAATATTATTAAGAAAACATCATGATTATAAAGCTGATTTATGGTCTTTAGGAGCTATATTATTTTTTATGATTTTTCGTGAATATCCTTTTAAAGATTCTAAAAATTTACTAGAAGAAATTCGACAAAAAACATATCCTAAATTCATGCCTTTATAGATATTAAAAAAGAACTAAACTTGTTCACTACAGCTTATAGATTTTTTATAAAAAATAATTGTTTTTGAACCTTAATTAAGAATTTCATTTGAATAAATTTTTTTGGAAAATATATTTAATAAATAAATTTCTTTAAATGAAATTTAAGAAAAAGTTAAATTATATAATGAAATTTAAAAAATATAACCTTATCCTCCTAATATTTACGATGAATTAGCAATTGATTAATTTAATAATTATTCCTCCAATATGAACGGAAATATATATGAATAAGAAGATGAAGATTTTACTGATATTAATACAAATGAATCTCCTTGTATTAAAATTCCTAATATATAAATGTGTAATGATTAATAAATAAAAAATATTAGAGTCCCAGGGCCAAAAGCACTCGAGTTTAGTTTTATTCTTCCTCCTACTAAAATTGATATTTAAGAAGAAGTCTAAATTGGTAGCAATACTGGTTATACTAATTCTTGTACTGATTTTATGATGATTGCTTAAACTTTAAATTAAACAGAAGTTCAAGAATTTGATATATAGAATGAAGAAGCATTTGGGGGAAAGTAATTTATTCATATTTTTTTTTTAAAAAAAAAAATATTTTAGAGATGTTATTTATTTAAATAATAAAGATGAAATAAATAATGAAAAAAATGATTTAAACTAATAAAATTCTTAAAACTCTTTTAGATAATAACCTTCTATTCATTTAAGTATTTTAGACTCTGCAGTTAAGAATAAATAAAATAAATTAATTATTTAATAAAGTTAAATCTACGAATAACATGTTTAATTATATTTATATGAAATTGGAAAATATAGTATAATTATTGATACCATTTATTCCTTAAATTCCCTTCATTTATCTAGTTCTACATAAAGCTTAATTAATTATTTACTTACAAAGCTTCTTCTTTTTTATAATTTATAATTAAAACAATCTATTGAAAATAAAATTAATGTTTTTAACTTGAAATAATTTCGTGAATTCTTATAAAGTGATGCATGTATTCTATTAAAAGGAAAAATAGATAAAGATTATGATGAATGGACAATGAAATTTCATTTATTTTATTACGGAATTGATTAAGATTAAGAAATAAATTGTAAAGAAGTAGAAAATATAATAACTGAAGAAATTGTAGAAACTGATTTTTAAAAATAGCTTAAGATTCCAATTAGAAAAGTACTTAATTAAGTTTTTAGGATTGCATTTTAAATAGGGAATAAATAATCTAACAATATTTTTTAAACTTAAGATATTTTAAGAACTGCATTGCTTATTTTATTAAGTATGCTTATAAATAATATATTTGATAAAGAAAATGCTAAAATTTATTTTCCATAATATTTTAAGGATAAATAAGATTAATAAGAAATAGATTTTACTTAATTTTTATTATGGACTGTTTAAGCTACTAAATAATAATTACTTGATTAAATACAATTAATTATTAGGTTAGTTTTTGGGGAAAATAAAATGAAAGTAATTTATAATTATACTTTTTTTCATAATATAAATTTAAATAAATAGTTATTTATTTTATTTTTTTATTTAAGTTGTTCTTGTAATGATTATTGCTTTTTATTTAATATTGTTTTTATTATTGTTTTAATTATTTATATATTATTTATTTAAAAAAGAATGTAAATTAAAAATGTATATTTTTAATTTAGTTAATTTTTTGATATAATATCTCTAAATAGAAATTTTTTAAACTAAGAAATAATAAAATTATATTGATGCAAAAATAATTTTTTAGTGTCAAAAAATAAATAAAAATTTATCTTGAAATTAATTTTGTAAAAATATATATATATATATATATATATATATATATATTTATATTATATTTATATTTTACAGCTTATTATTATATAATTAGTTAAATTTATATAATTTTTTATTTTATTATTTCAACTTTAAAATTTATAAATTTATTATAAATTAAAATAATACTTTCTTATTTTAAATTTTATTTCATTTAGAAAAGTAATTATTTTCATCAATAATTTAAATTAATACTAAAAAAATATTTGATGATGGAGGGGTTCGAACCCTCGCCCTTTCGGAATAGAGCCTAAATCTACCGCCTTAGACCGCTCGGCCACATCATCTTTTATGAATACAAAAGTTTGAAAAATAATATATATATAAATTTTAAATTTATAATCATATAAACAATCTTAACTTTAATTGTAATATTAATTTAAAATTATCTTCATATTTCCACGTTATTTATAATATAAAAATATATAATATAATTTTATGTTTTACAAAATAAAGTTAATAACATCGTTATAAATTTTTTTTTTTTTTTTTTTTTTCCTCAAAAAAAGAATGATTTTATTCAACTTTAATACTAAATTAAAAAAAAGCAAAACAAATAAAAAAAAACAAAAAATTATATTTTTTTATATTTTAAAGAAATATTGTTATCAGACTTTTTACATTGATGCAATATCAACAGATTAAACAACATCTTCCCATTCTAAAATTTTATCAAAAATATCATCAGTTTATACTTTATCATCTTCAACAACACAACCAATTTAGAGCTTTCTCATGGTATAAGCAATAACAGGTGTTTTATAATCTTTATTCCAAACTAATCCATCAGGATTAATTGTGTCGAAAATTTTTTTAGCAAGAGCATCTAAGTCTTCACTTTCTTCATAAACCTTAACATCAAAAACAATGATGGTTTTTGCAATAACTTTTTTTTTAGCCTTGGCTTTTTCAGCTATTTCCTTTTACTTTTTAGCTAATGCTTCAGCTGCAGCTTTATCATCTTCATTTTCATCATCATCACCAAAAAGATCAATATCATCATCTTTTTTAGCAGCAGGGGCTTTAGAAGCTACTACTTTTTATGTTGAAGATTCCCATGATTTCTTTACTTCAGGACTGAATAAACTAATCCAACCATACCAGGCGTATAAATTAGGATGAGTGTTTGGGTCTAAATAAACTTTATTTTCTAAATTTTATTAATATAAATTAATTTATTATTGATTTTTTTTTTTAAATTACCTTTTAATTAGTTGAATAAATCAGCATCTAATTTACTAGGTTTATCAGTTCCAGATAGATGCTAGTGAGCAGCTAAATGGGTTTCAGCTTAAGCAAGATTTGTGTGTGTGAAAGACATTTTTCTATTTTTTTTTTATATCTTTTTTTTTTAATTTTTATTTATTTATTAATATTTTTATTTGTTTTAATTATATATATATATATATATGAAGATGTATAAATAAGTTAAGATTTTTATTTTTTTAAAAATATTTAGATTAAAAATCTATTTAATATTAAAGGCTAATAATAATTTTGTATATTGTATAATTTTATTTTTGGCTTTATATTATAAAAATTAATTATATAATATATTTTTTTAATAATTATATATTATAATACAAATTATTCGTTTTTTAATTTTTTTTTTATACTTTATAAAAAATAGTTTTTTTTTAAAATCTTTAAATAACTTTTTAATATAAATTTTTACGTATAGTTTTTATTATAAACATAATTATTATTTACAAATTTTAATAAATTAAAATAATATATGAATTGAGTTTTATATTATAATAAAAATAAAATATATATAAATTATAAGAAAATATATTATTTAAAAAATATAATATAAATTAAAATATTTAATCTAAGAAATTATTAATTTCATATAATTAATTTTATATTAAATAAAAATTATACAAATCTAATTAACTAAATTTAATACAAATAATTATAATGTTTTTTTAAAAAAATTATATAAAATTATATTTACTTTTTAAATTTGATTATTATTTTTAGAAAATTGTCAAATAATAATTTTGCTGCAATGCGTAGTAATTCGATTTAAATAATATATATTAATATAATAAAAAATATCTAGACTTTAAATATATAATTTCTTAGTCTTTTAATTATAAATTTTTATATAAATCAATATACGAATTTAAATTAAAAAAAATATATATGGTTTTAGTACATTTTAATTGTAAATAAATAAAATAATTTTTATTTTTTAATTTATATATTATACTCTACTCAATTTTTTGTTTTATTTAAAATATTTTTAAATTAAAAAATAAGTTTACTTAAATTAAAAATAATATAAATATTTAAGAGATTTTAAATTATAAGTATTAAGAATAATAAAAATTAATTGAAAATTATACAAAATATTTCAAAATTTATTTTAATTATGTTACATTATTAATTTACTTAAAAATATAGTCTAATTTTATAAACATATTGATTGTTAAGTTCTTTTAATTATTTAATTAAAAATATTTTAATTTTTTTTTTATTCCATTATTATTCTGTCTTAAAAATATATTATTATTATCAATTATTTATCATAATTAAAGTAACCAAATAAATAAAAAATGTTCTATTAACTTCAATTCGATTTTTAATTTATTTATTTACATATAATATGATAATATTTTTATGTAAATACAAAATATTTAATGAAATAAAATTATATTTTTTTAGATATGTTTATTTTATAAAATTTATTATATAAAGATAATAAAAAACTTAGTACAAGTTATATATATTACCAATTAATAAAAAAAATATTTTCTAAATTATAAAACAAATATAAAGCTAAAAAATATATTTTAAAATATTATATTTAAATTATATAATAATTTTTTGATAATTAAAATTATTAATATTTTTAAAATAAATTTGATAACAAATATTTGAAAATATATATTTTGAGCTTTAAATGATATATAAAACTTTTAAAAGATACAATTAATGAATAATAAAACAATTATTTTAACAATATTTTTTAAAATTAAATAACTTAATAATTAATTTTCCAAAATTATAAGTTTCTTTTATAGAAGAATACATTTAAATACTTAAAATAAAATGATAAAGCAAATATTAATCAAATTTTTAAGTAGTTTATAAATAATTACATTTATCCTAATATATTAGTACTTTTAAGAACAAAAAAACAAAGCATTAAATTAAAATTAGTTATATTTTTATTTTTTAATTTAAATTATTAAAAAGATTAAGATTTTTAGTCAAATCAAATCGTTTTTTTATTAAATCTAATTTATTTAAATAAATAAATTATCATTTTTAATTATAATATCTATTAATAAATTTTCAAAAGATATAATTGAATAAATAAAAAATAAATTATTTAATATAAAATACTATTAAAAAAAATTAATAAAATAAAAATATTTATTATAATATAATAATATTATATTAAATAAATAAAAAATATAAATAATAATTTATAATTTAAAAAATGCCACAAGAAAAAATAAAGAATATTTAAATATTATTAAAACTGGATTATAATAATTAATTTTTTTTTATTTTCTAGGCTTCTTTTAATATAGCAAAAATAATCCTCAATTATTATGTTAATATTAAAAATATTAAAAATGAGAAAATAAAAAAATAAAATTTTTAATAATTAAATATATATATATATATATATATATATATATATAATATATATATATAATAATTAG